ACACACACACACACACACACACACACACACACACACACACACACACACACACACACACACACACACACACACCTGACATACCTTTGTTTGCACAGCTATCTAATTGGGGACATTCCATTGACTTTCATTACATTTCTACAGCCTAACCCTGACAACAAACCCTAAGGCTAACCTCACAGGTACCTACCTGACCCTAAAACTAACCACTGTGACATGCTGCACTGCTCCTAGATGCCCATCCACCATAGACTTTGCATGTAAACTGGCTGCTTTGGCTGCTCAAAACGCGTTTGGAGGGAACCCGGCTTAACTGTGGTGAAGCCGATTATTTGTAATTGTGGCCTGCCATATACAGTAGGTGAGCTTCCTGCTGGAATGAGCTGGGGCCTCATGTATAAAAGGTGCGTATGCATAAAAAAGTTGCGTGCGCCAGGTTCTACTCCCATGCTGGGATGTATCTAAACCAACGTTGCGTGAAAATCTGCGTAAATATRCCCACACTTTTCACYTGCCGTGAGAATGTGCGGCAGCYGCGCAAAGTTTTTCAGTCGACAGTTTTAACCCACAAAGTCACGAATCTGACCTGAATCCACAGAAATATGACTCTGCTCTGTTTTCTGGATGTAAGGAGCGTCTGAACAGTGTTATACTGTATATATTTTTTTAGTTTGAGTTTTTATTGTTTAAACTTGAACGATCATGAACTTGAACCCCGAGACTGAAAATCATTTAACCTTAGACAAGAAAACTGAGCAGCCTAAAAATGATCAAAAGAACCTCAGTCCAGCCTACACTAAACTGTCAAGTTTTTATGTTTTTGTCACATAGTTGGAAACACATGCAGAGCGCAGGCCTGCGAGGCACATACAACTGAGGAGAATAAAATGAATTGTCTAAGAAACATCAAAATACTGTATAAAAAACACCAACTACATCAAAAATATTTAATTACTCCATCAAATTTATCCCTGAAAAAATGAGCTGGGATGCAGTCAAGAAGCACTATGAAGATGGTGCAAATCTGGCAAATATGCGCCCTGTGGATTCAGGCTTACATTGAGCTGCTGACTTTTAATCTGAAAATGCCCAACGTGCACAATGTGACGCTCACACACTGTCCCGCTTTTGACTCAGTCACCTTATGTGTTGCGTTTTAACTAGGAATGAACCCAAATCCGGCTGGAGATGAGCTTTAGATAAAGATTTATTAAACAAACAAAAAGCTGACGTGGCAGCAAAAAATAAGAAATCTTCAGGAAAAGACAAGGGACCATAACATGAGGCAAAAACAAACAATGAACCAGTGAGTAAGTGAGAGCTGAACCAGGCTTAAATACACACTGAGGGAATGAGGAAATGAACTACAGCTGATGGAAACACTAATTAGGAACTACTGACAGGTGTGTTTAATTGACTGAGGAGGGAAGTGACAGGTAAACATCTGAGGCTTAATAAAAATGAAGAAACACCAGAGGGAGGAAGACACCAGACGACAGAAAACACAATCCTCATATTATGAAAAGTAAAACAAAAAACAAACAAAAAACAAAAATCAATATACAAATGTTATTTAGTGGCTGCAGTTTGCAACATTAGATAATGCCTCCTTATTTCTGTCTCTGCCTCCTTTGCAGGAGGACAAGAGAAGAAAGAAAGGCATGAAGGCAGAGATGCAGTCAGCTGTGAAAGAGTAACTTACCCCAAAATTAACTTTTTTTAGCTGATAAACTGTCTAGAATGTGTCTAAAATGTTATATAGTACTGTTTCTGTGCTAATTGTGATGTTATTGTGCGTATTTGCTCAAATCTGTAATATTTGGTCTAAAAACATGTTTTTGCTGCTCATATGGGTGGAGCAGTGGTACTG